CAAAAATAAATAAATATAAAAGAAAACTAGTTTTTATCGTAATTAGTGTAACTCAATACTTATTATTTTTTCATAAATTATACAATTTTTTAAATGTTTTGAACGAATTATAGGCATTACATTTTTTTTTCAATTCTTTTTTCAATTAATGTTCAAATAAAAATTTTTGCTCTGTCAGAATGTTAAATAATGTAAAAAGATTCCTTAAGTTTTTTTATCATAGCGATTTAAATGTAGAATTAAAGATGCGCAAGAATTTTAAGTTTATATTTTGATTAAGTTCATCAAAATCATGAAAACTTACAAGCTATTCGGTGTTAAAAACGTATTAAATATTTAATGTCAAGTAGAGCGATGAATAAATTGATGTTATAATGGGTGTTTTTTAAATTTTTTAAATTAATTTAAATAATTTTTTTCGTCTATGTATACGATAAATATTCGAAATAATTCTTTAATTTTCAATGTTAATATCTTATCTGATGGAAAAGTAAATCAAAGCTTGAAATAGAAATTTTCAAAAGATCCGAGATAGGCAAAAAAAAAAAATAATAATAATAATAATAAGTAAAAACAGCAATGCTACTCAATATATTTTATCCTCTAAAAGGAAAGTCTAGAATCATAAATATGTTTTTATTCATAAGTATCTAACCGTGACAATGAAAATATTACTCAAAAGTCAAAATCGGTTAGATTAATAAATGAAAATAATTATTTAAATAATATCTATATTTATATTGTAAAAGTTTAAATTATAAACTAGTTTGGTTATTGTCATATTACATTTCAATGAATAAATTGTAAATACAGATCTCTTTGATATAAAAAGCTGTATTATAATTATTCTACATATATGGATTTACATTGACGTAATAATATAATATCTATCATATGTGACTGTACCAATACCTATTCTATGGAAATTTCAACATCGTTGCAGAGAACGGAGTCGATTAAAAATTCTAAAAAAAGAGGCGAAACGGTCATGAACAAAAAACATATTAAATTCTGTACAATTTTATTTTTTAATAAATTACAATATTTTTAGTTCAGTTCAGTAACGTTCCCTGCAATGTCGGTGGCGTGGATCACACAATTCACGGATTTCACCGATAAAGTCGATGTTTAAAGTAAGTTTATTTTCATAATAGTTTTGCGCTTAAATTTTAAATTAAAAATAAATATTTAATGCCATGAATAGTATAATATTATACTATACAAGTGTCGTAAATGCATATTTTATTTCCGAGTGTGAAATGCATAAAAGCGTAAATTCGAATAATATAGGTACAAACGCCGTTGTTGTTTCTCCAGGCCCTGTTCTTAGAATAATAATAATAATAATAATAATAATAATTAATACATACTTAAGGGTATACTTGACATAAGATCAGTACCTCACCGATGTAGTGCGCTCGAACCATTTCGAAATTCGTTTGATGACGCGATTATTGCCAAGAGATTGGCTAACGCGATGACAGCGTATAAGCTTTCGCCCTCAGCGTTATCAGGAATTCAGGAACTAAAACCGTTCCAGTTTGAGATGGGTTCCAAGAAACTGAGGATCACGGCGTCGCTGTTGCCTGTTGGTGGAGACCTGCAGATGTATGAGCACTGCGAACGTAATATATACCTCATTATAATTATGACAAATTAGATATGTATCATCACAGTTTTTTGATACATACGCAGCATTCGGCCGCTCAAATATTTCTTCACTTCTTTTGGCTGACATGATCAATGTTTAGTTCACACGAGAACGTTTATTTGGTTGAATAATTTAAATGTAACATTCATATGTGATAAGAAACCGTATAAAATAAACGTCTTAATTTATTAGTTATAATATATGTAAATACACCATAGACACAGTACTTTACTTATATATGGTATAAATTAATTGTTGTCATTTATTATTATATTGAACTACTTAAATACCTAATAAATTATAAAATTAATATAATTTATTATGAATTCATATTTCATCATCGTTAACACAAAAAAAAAAATCAATCAGAAGTGGAGAACAACGATATAGGCCGGAGGAGGAGGAAATGCGCATACTTTGCAAAACTAGTACAACTGTGTTAAATGATCACTGATGTACATACTAGAAACTAGATAGCAAATTCATCTTACTATTTAAATTCCTATATAAATTAATAATCATGTTCAAATTGTTAAAAATGTACCATTTCAAATATCAATAGGTGTAGATAGCCAAAAGGCTAGGAACATCTTATCTTAATAAAAAAAAAAGTACAACTGTGATGATACCTATTTAATTTGTCATGATTACATTATTTACATACGAACTTAATACAACGAATGCTGCAGGGCTGGATTTTGAACAACTGCGCGTCTGCGCCGCCATAAGCACTTTTTCTCGAAATTCGTGTGTTAATATATTTTGATAGTGGTTATTTTGTTTGAATTATGGTTTAATAACGATATATTTTTGACAGATAGATAAACTAATACCATATAAAATGAGATAATATATGGTATTGGTTCCGAACAATGGTGGAGATATCTAAAGAAGAAAATACGTGGATTTTAATTTTGGGGCAAAAGCCAAATATCCACAAAATTATGTTTTAAATAATTTAAATTTATTCAAAGGTTAACAAAGCATACGAATTTGTTTTATAAACAGTAATTTGATCAAAGGGGGGTTAGTTAATCTGTTTTTTATGTCACCGGAAAAATTACAAAAGTGGAGATACCTTGTTATTCCTTCGAACCCTTAAATTTTTTTAATCTTCTAAACTTAGATATTGGTTAACTAATAAGAAATCACAAGGGGAATCATATTTAAGTATACATTTATGAACACTAATTTCATAAATTCCACTTAAGTTGTGACATAAAATATACATAAATATAAAAATTTTATAGATAGGTACTAATACGACAACGAAAAATAAGAAAATTAAAAGAAATAATTTTTTACGTTTTACATATAAATTATTAATCTATAACATTTAGTGACAATCTTTTTTTTTTTTAATGCAAAATGGGATTCAAATTTTCAAGAATAACGTCGACAGTACGACAGTTTATAACTAACCTAACCTCGAAAAACCTCTGACTGTATATTTTGTAATTTTGAAGTTATG